CACACACACACACACACACACACACACACACACACACATCGTGACTCACTTAACTATCATCTCACATAGCAACAGAAATTTTGGTCCCAATTGTGGTTGTAAGTTGAGGAGTACCTGTAATCCTCAGACTCTCACTGGCTGGTTCAGCAAGAATATCTGAAGGTAGCAGGTGTTCTCCCGGGAGTTTACCAGTTATAAATGGGGAGTAATTATCCATCACCTGGTGCATTCCAACATACATACATTACAACATCCAATAATATTACTATTCTTCTCTTCCTTCCTAGTACCTATCTCTTCCTACATGACTATAACCATGTTGCTTGTATCTTTAAATTTTATATTGTTTTATTTGTTTCCTAGTATGATTTGATTTCTTATTAGTTAACCTATGGCTATCACTAAGTGCTGTATCTTATGATTCTTGATGAATGCATTCTATTTTATTTTTCTTTATGTAGACTGAGAGCATATGCACCAAAGACAAATTCCTTGTGTGTCCAATCACACTTGGCCAATAACGAATTCTAGTCTAGTCTACATTCTACCTCCAAACTTCAGCTGTTACTCTTTGGGGGAAAGTAAGCATTATGTTGGGATATTCCAGCTCAAAACCACATCGGACAAGCAGTTCTCTCTTCTGAGATACCAACTTAAAAATCGGTCCACCAGCGTTCGCTTCTATGACTTTAAAGCCAGATCAAGTTATCCATCTAAGAAGAGCATGATTGAAATATTGAAAAAAGGAAAGATCGTGTCTTTGATTAATAAGGGAAGGGGGGGGGAGAGGGCTAAAATAGAGGTAGAAATATGAAGGGGGAAATAGTAAAAATTGATATTAAGTGGATATGAAGTATGGTAGAATTATGAGAAGGTTTAGAAAGATGACAGTAGGAATTATCTGTTAGCAGAATCAAAAATGAAAATGAATTGTAATTATTAAGATTATGATTAAATGTACTTAAATGTATGAAACCCAGGACCCAAACCATGCACGAAATGAGATGTATAAGAATAAAAAATAAAAAATAAAACTTTTTTTTTAAAAAAAGTTACCAATCTAAGCTCATTTGTGATCTAAAACTGGACCAGGAGAGAAATTTTTTTAAAAATATTTTTTTTGCCATTTTCATCTGCTTCCTTCCAAGATTACGACCCCAAAATTAGATAAAGTGCCACACATCACAGTGGGGGTTTAGCAGGTAAACCTTCCATGTGGATGTGCTTACAGAATGTGGATTTCAATTCCCAGGATTCACACCCAGTAGCTACCTCCCCACCTTGAAAAGGGATGGCAGCTGAAGCATCCAATACCTAAAGGCGCCCCAAGATTGGAGAAGGCTGACACAGCACAATAATGTGTGCAGTCACTGCCATCTGTGCAAAAGGAAAGCAGAGGAAAGAGACGACCCAGGGTGTAGTTTCGAACTCACCACCACCACCAAAAAGAGAGGGAAGCTCAGATCGTCTGCTCTTGATAAAAGATGATCTGGAGGGCAACCCCCTCCCCAATAACAGGGAGGGAATCCCCCTTCCGCACCCTAGAGAAGACGACTCCATTACAGTCCTAATTACCCCTATTTAAAAGATGATGCATCCTATTAGGAAAATATTCCACGCCCCTCTAAAAGTTACTTGCAGGAG